TGACTTTAGGTTGTGGCAACCTTCTACCTAAAAACCACCAAGATAATATATTTGTGTTTAAAAAAATAAAAATAAAACACATATCCTTTACAAAGCAAAGCACATAAGAAAGAAACTGAATTACAATAAACACAATGATTCATAAAATCTACAATTTGTCGCATTCACGTAAATATTGATGCATAAAAGCCAAACAGCCTCAGTTGTCATGTGTGATGCACACAATGCCGAAATGACCTTTATTTTACTACATGTACCTGATGCTTCACTCTCTCTAATTTTCTGTCAATCAGCACCCAAAAAGCTGCTTCATTATTGCTTAAAGTTTTTGAAGAGCCAGACTGTTACAGACAGAGAAACAATGAGTGCTATATAAACTATGTGATATTGACAATCCTGGCTCAAATTCCTGTCAGTCTGCAATATTGACCAAACCATATTTGGACCTTTGGGCTTGCCGTAAGCTATAAATGGGGAAACAGCAAACATTGAAGAATGAACTCTGTTCAGATGATTAACAGTGATTTTTTTTTTCTTTCTAAGATGCTAATAACCATGAATACTACAATTTTCACAATGATTCCCATAATGATTATTTTTCTTACATTTTTTGTTGTTAAATGAACAGCTATTTGATTTTATATTCTATATTGCATCGCTGATCATAGAAATAATACACCACAACATGCCTATTTTCAGGTATATTGTTAGAAGCATTTCTTATTCAGTGAATTTCCTCTTTGCCATACATGCATTGCCTGCTGAACATGTTCTGAGGCTGGCCATAAACATATTCATCTGGTCTTTTTCTGACATTGTTCTCAGGCCGGCGCCATACAAAGGTAAATTAAAACCATCCCCATGATATGTTTATGATAACAGGAGGAGTTTAAGGTTGTTTTCTCCCGGCAGGCAGAAGGCACACACAAGCACAGTGTCCCGCACATGCACACCAGAATGAACCCCGCTGGGCTGTGCCATCACATTTTGCAGGGAGCTCTGTTATTGTCGCTCACATAGACGCGGGCAAACACACCTGGCACACTGTAAGCATGGATGTGATACCTGTGAGAATGTGTCACCCAGCACTGTTCCCACTGCAGTAGTGGGAGCAGTGAAAGGATATGTGCTTTCTTGTTTGTGACTTTGAATGTTTGTGTGCACCTCAGTTGATGCAGGATGGATCATATTTTTTATTTGTGTAAAATAAGAGAGAAGTTGTTAATTTGTGAATGCTGAAAAATTATATTTGTGTGTGAGTGCATGCTCAAAAGTGCGCGTGTGTGTGTGTGCGTGTGCGCGTTTGTGTGTGTAAGTGAAGAAGGGGGTGATATAGGACAGGTGCTTTAAGAGAACCCCTTTGACTCTTTGTCTCGTCACTAATTGGGTTTAGGGTCTGTATATGCACATGTGTGTGTGTGTGTGTGTGTGTGTGTGTTGGTTTGTGCAGAAGTGTATTCTTGTGTACTCATGGGAAAGCTTTGCCTTTTTTGCAATCCTATTCTTTGACTACCTGGGTTTTCACCATACCTCAGAATACTCAGAATATTGTCTGAAAGGGCTGAAGGAAAATACTTCCTAGCAGTGTGCACACATTTGAGACTTTTACAGCGTTCACAGCATTTTGCAAGGATTTTTTATCTTTTAAGATAAAAAAACAAAAAAAAAACATTACGTGTATGCAATCTTTGAAAATTTTTTTTTTCTAAAATATTTTGATCATGCCCTTTAAAACAATTATATTCCATAATCCAACTTGGACATATCTACTACTAAAATGAAACGATCAGTTTAATACGTTTGAGCTGATATAAAGCAAGCCCTTTATAAATCTTACTGAATATAAAATTACTATTTATCCACAAAGTGAGATGACAAGTCAGTCATGTTCACACAACCAGTTTACTAAACAGTTCACTTTCAACTTTACCTAATTTCCAATTTCCAAACACATTTAACCTGCTAATACCAACTTTTGGCTTATCCTGAGTTTTCCTTGAGTTAGAGTGCCTTGCATTGCACAAATGGAATCCTACTCTTATCTTAATTAGATTTACAAAACCCAGCTAACCTTTCTGAATTAAGCGTGCTACATAACAAAGTTCCAAATTGTTGACACAGAGAACTTTTGTCACAGCCTTCCTGCTATTTGCTGAAAACTGGATCTCTCTTACCCTCAAGTTTCAGATTGTTCAGGAGAAATCAATGTCCCCTTTAAAATAAGGTGTTTCCCCTGACTTAATTTTAAACATCTCATTGATGCTAAAAAGAGCAAAGTATGAATCTTCATTCTGTAACAGCTTCTACAATGAAGAGTGCTGTTGTCCGCACCACCTGGCAGGAGCTCAATATAGTTCATTTATGGATCAAAAAAGAAAAAAAAAAGTCACAGTTTGGAGCTTCTGACTGATAGGTGAGCTGTCAGGACTGATGAAGCAGAAAATTGTGAGATTTCCGTCACCAATCTCTTGGTGCTCATATTTGTCTGCCATCCAAAATGTTCTTATTACAGACAAAGTGGTCATTTTCTTCTGTGAAAACTCATATAAGAATTACAATATAACTTCTGCATAAAACTTGTTTAAAACAATGATGGTTTTCTCTCACAGTGTACAAGTAGTCATGCATTCACCAGCTGGGACCTTGGTCTACAGCCTGAGTGGGAGTTCTTGGCTTAGACAAAGAAGACACAGAAAAATTATTTTAAGGATGATTCTGGTATTGGTGAGATATTTTTTGTATCACCATTACAGTCAGTTGTTTTTGTAACACTTTAGATTCAGCTTTGATTTATTCAAAGATGATAGTGCTTAGTTTTTTGTTTGTTTTGTTTAGTTAAATTCTGAAAATATTGGAGTTTAATTAAAAAAAAAAAAATCAGTGGCAAAAATGACTATTTCCATATATTTTTGGGTTCCATTTATGTCTTATAAATGGCCATTTGAAACAACACAAGTTAAGCGTTTCTCCCATCACTAAATTTGCTTATTTTGGGGGGATTAAAAGGATGAGTAAACTCATTCAAGATAATTTGTGTCAGTTCCTACTCCAAGGAAGAACATTGTTAGTGCATTCTCTCTAAATTTGCATGCGCCTAAGCAAGCTGAATCGTGCCTGCCACCCACTAGCTATTTTCCACCTGGTGCCCACCTACACCCACAATAATGAAGCAGAGCTAAGGATAAACACAAATACAGACACAACAGAGTGCGCATGGTGGTCACACTCTTCAGATTAACCTCTATTCACACTGGTGAGACCCATTGTCTTTACCCGGAGCTCTCTGCATCCAGAGCACAACTCGGACACCGCTCTGAAACAATGGTAATTGTGACCTATCTTCTTGAACAGTAGCTCTGTTTTGGTTTGGACTCTTTGAGGTCAGAACTCCAGGTCAGTCTGCATCAACCTGAAACAAAAACAGAGGCAATTAATGTCCCAAAGCCTCCAGCAAGACATGTCAAGGTGTGTGGTTCAAGGAACGTGTTTGTCAAAGTTGTTCAAAAGTTGAACAAACGTGTTTCAAGCTAAACTGGCGATTAACTTTAGCTTCCACCGTTTCAAAAGTAGCAATCAAGACATTTGAATACTTGGATTGTAGTTTCTTCGTAACACGTCTTTAATAATAATAAAGGAATTGCCACCCGTATTTCAAGAACAGGTTATCCTTGACTTTAACTTTCAAATCCTTCTGCATTTGGATCAGGTGCTTTTTCAAGGCTTATCCACAGATCTTACTCTGTATTAATCTCACAAACGGAAAGGGATATGAAAGACACCTTGCCTGCACTCATAGAGATAAATCATTAGGAATTTTGACATGTGTTTGAGATCATTATCCCCAGACGGAAGCCACGCATGAATCTTTCACCCAGGTGTAATGCTTGCTTCCACAGTTTTGCAGCACATATTTCGCTTCTTGAAAATATCTTCTAAAATATTTAGATGATTTAGAAAACATGGCTTCATATGTGCTAACATGAGAGCAGAGCAGAACTGCAGCTTTGCAGAGTGGACAGAAGATTTCTTAGTATTTTGTGCAATCAAATGGGGTTATTAGGTTCAATCAGCCCTACAAGCTGGTTTTGAAAGTCCAAACTTGACCTTCATCATTTACGTTAACTCTCATTTTGTAATTGCGTTATGAATTCAATCATAAACTCTACAATATACCTGAGTGCTAAGCACCTACTTTGATGTTCCCATTGATGAAATTTAACGGAACGGGGTTGGAAGAGTTAAAGTACACCTAATGGATAGAGACGTTAATCCCACTGCTTTAAGCAAGTCAAAACGTCAAGATGCTACAGCAAAACTTTCAACATTTTGTCACATTTAGGGGACAAACTTTTGTGTACAATTTAATATAGCATATATGTGAAGTGGTGCTAAGGTAAGTCATTGTATTAAAAAATTATATAAAGTAAAAATCTGAAACTAGAGGTGTGCTTTGGTCCCAACCCCCTTATTCAGATACCCCTAAATTAACTTGATTGTTATGAATTGCCTTCAGAAATGACATAATTAGTAAAAGAAGGTCTGCCTTTCTGTAATATAATTTCATAATAAATCCAGCTGTTCTGTGAGGTTCTCAGAAGTTTAAGAAAATTATGGAGAAAATTGTTGTTACTTCCCAGTAGCAATTAACATGCAACACATCTGTTGTGATGACGCCGAATGTGAAAGTAGGCGTTCAAACAATTTTATGCAGAAGTGCTATGTGTATGGCAAAGCACTTTCCATCATCTTCATAAAAATGGCGGTGGCAACGTCATGACAAGGAAGCGGGTCAAAGTTCATTAGAAATTGATGGAGATGAACACAGGATGTTGCTTTTCATCTGATCTGACAGAATTGAGTCGTTTCGCAAAGCAGCAGAGAAAATGCTGCACTTTCCTTCTTTCTGTGCACATAATAAATAAATTACATTGATGTTTGTGACAAAAAAAATATATATATATATATATATATATATATATATATATATATATATATATATATATGTAAATGTTCAGTGTATGAAAACTCTTATGAGGCCATACAAAAAAAGTCTGGTACCTTTTTTTTTTAAGAACTAAGAGTTCAGTTCTTTCATTCTGAACAATCTTTAAGTGGTCATGCTCTTCCTTTACTGGTTTATGAAGATTATTACCTCACAAACAAAACAAGTTGTAAATGATGCTCAGGGAACTGAATTCATCTCGAACTCTACTACGGGAAGTAGAAATTTCAACCAATGACATTTGCTAATTTGTATTTCCAAATAAACATTAAGAAACTATAGAATTTTTTGCTTTACTTTGCTATTGTTTCTTCACAATCTTGTAATCATGGAGACAGAAAGAGAAGGAGGTAAAGAGGCAGAGGGGAAGAGGAGATCAGGTTTCTCGGCAGCTCTGTACCCTAATCCTGGATTTGGAAACGGGATGAGAAGAACACAGGTAAGTACAAACAACAAGCAATTACAGCACTGACATAGAATTGAAAGGTGGGGGGAGAGCAGCTAGACAGGAAACGGGGAATCTCATAGGTTGTGAGAGGGGTTGGTTAGATGTAGGTGGGATATAAATACCTGCAGTAGAGTAGGGCAGAAAAATGCTGAGGGCATGACAGATGCTGACTTCCATTGATCGACGAAGGTTATAACAGACCAGCAGGGCTGCATTGTTTAGCTCTCATTAGAGGAGACTCACATTTCAGCAGGTGTAATAGTGATTTTAAATCGAACAGGAACCATTTTGGTATTCACCTCGTTTGAGGGTAGGGTTCTGCTTAAAACTTTAAAGAGTTTTGGTGGAGTTGCTGAAAGGAAAAAAAAAGTAACCTCTCGCAGTTTTCTACCCTCATATTCCCCACAAGTGCCTCAAGGGAGACACATGCTTGACTGAGCCAGAGAAAAAAGGACAAGAAAAGAAGACGATACTCGAGGTGTAAGACAACTAACGCAGCCAGGAAAAGACAGCAGAACAAGAGAGGCCAAAGAAGACGAGACGGAATCTCAAGAAAGAAGGCAAGATGATAGATTTTAGGAATGCAATTTAGAGAAGAAAACGTCAATGGAAGACAAGACCAAATAAAGTGAGTTATTGTGCGTTTAAGAAAAGAAAGCTTTTTAAGAGACAGACATCAGTTAACACTAAGACTGCTAAAGAAAGCCAAAGAAACATGGCATGTCAGGGATTTGGTGCTGATTCCTTCACCCCGCTGGCAGGCGATTCACCCTTACCAATCCTCATGCACCATGGCAGCACCGGTGACTGTTTACCGGCCACGTCCCATGCTCATGGTATGGTTTCTGCAGGTAAATCAAGTCCGCAATGTTCTTCCTACTTGTTATGCGCTGACTTTGAGATGATACTTCTATTGTTAAGGGTTATTTCTAAATTCTTTTAGCTCAATTGATGTCTTTGTCTTTTAAGCTCCTTTAATTTTTTTAGACCACAAAAGCTTACAAAAACGCTTCGCAGCAAAGCTTTTGAAAGCGTAATTAACATGAACCTTAATCCACATTGTGTTGTTGAGATGCTAAATCCCAGCTGTAGCGATGAAGGCCAAGAACAATCACTCTAATCCTTCTCTTCCAGGAAAGATATAAACTTTTGATTTCCTGAGCATCGACATCCCGTCAGGCATATCTAACTAATCATAACTGTTATCACTGGTACATGTTGGGGTAAAGACAATTCCTATAGACCTGAGGTTACATGCCACTTTGTCCTTTAAAGCCTATTAAGAAATAATAACAGATAAAATTCTTTATCGTAATAAAAGTTTATTGAATTTATTCATCAATATTACTTGATTTAATTCTTAAATTATGTATTGGCAGTTTAAGACACACATACATGTTAAAGTCTAATCAAAACATATTTCTTCCAGTAAATTAAATGAAACTTTGATGCATTTTTTTTTAAATCTGAATTTAATCATAAAAAAATTTATCTGATATGTTACTTTGGCACAGCAATCTGGGGATAATTGTTTCAATCTCCCCGCACTCTTCCTCATGACGCAACATTGTGGACAAACATTTTAATTGTGATTGAAGTTCCTTCTAAATGCAAAGACTCACAAGAGATGGGATGGGATCATACAGAACATGTTCATGTAACAGATGCAAAAAGGGAACATGTGAAATTAAACACATATGTTTCACAAGTAAGACCAGTCAGAAAGCCATAAGATGGCACCTTATTTATCTTTGTTTTCACCGAAACACATTGCCATTAGTACTTTGTGTTGATCTTAACAATGGCAGTGAGCATTCATTAGTGCCTGGAGTGAGCTAAAAAAAAAAAAAAAATTGCCTGAAGATGAACCATGAATAATTATGCGGTTAGCAAGATCATTTACAGCGACATGCAAATCGGAGCTTTTGATAAAAGCCATCATCAAAGCATGTGTCTTGTTTTGTCACCCGATCTGTATTCCTCCCAGCATCATCCCACAGCAGTATAGGCAATGAGTAACAAATCAGTAAAACAGCTCACAAATCCTTGCAATGCCTATTATTTCTGGTGGAGTGTAAACTGGACAACTTATTAAAACAACTTCCTTCTCTTACCAGACAGTTAGGACAGATGTTATAATTATATACGACTAATAACCCTTTGACTGAAAATGGCTTTAACTTGAATCCAGAAAAAACATGAAAAATATCAGTTTTAATGAAGTCACTGTTTGATACAGTATTCAGTCTTATTCAACATCATGTGATGTTTTTCTAATTGTCTATCAAAATCTAACATTTCTTTGTGTGTTGTAAATTATCAGACATCAGTGACATGGCGACATTTAGTGAATGAGCTGAATGCTTCTATATTTAGAACCAGTGTTTTCTGCATGGGAAATAAAAACAGGTTTTGTTTTTTTCTTGGCTTTCTGCATCAGTATCGTCAGGATTGTCCCTGGGTCAGACCTCCAAGAGGTCCCACATGCACCTGTCCACTTCCTCTCTTGGGAACGCCCTCAGTAACGCTCCTCCAAGTTTGCATTACCCAGTCACCCCCTGCCACTACAGCAACCAGCAAGCAACCTATGGCATGATGACAGGTGAGCAAATGAGGTCAAAGAGTTTCAAATTAGTTAGTAAATCAGCAAAAACAGGGAAAAATGTACGCTGTTATTTTACACCAGTTTTATCCAAATGCAAAAATGGCCAATATGCAGTATAACTACTCAGTTAGAGTAGTCATACTGTAAAGAATGCTGTGTACCGATCCGGTAGACAGCTAACTCAAATAAGTGTTTTTGTCAGAAGCAACAAATTGTATGACATTAGAAAGTAACTCAGAAAATAATACCATGATGACACCCTGGAGAAGCCTTAGTCTTGACTAACAAGAAAATGTTTAATTTGACTGCATTTGTTCAGTGCAGAAAAAAAAAGCATATTAGTGGTTCAATTAGTGGCACCCCAACAATAATTAAAGTTTTTAACAATGAAAGGCCTGACAAGTCACCAAGGGCAACAGGTCAATTCACCCCTTTGCCAGTTTGTACCCCAATTTCATACTCAAATCCTAAGATTTCATTTCCTTCCCTTGTACATCAACTTGGAAAACAATAACTTGCTAAACATTTGTCGTATATTGCAATGTTGAAACAGATTTTGATTAACCCAAATTACATTGAATTCATCCACAACTGTGTTTTATCAGCTCTAATTAGATGCTGCGTGCTTCTTTTCCTTGCAGCCCAGGAGATGCTTTCTGCCAGTATATCTCAGACTCGTATCCTGCAGACCTGTGGCGTCCCTCACCCCAACATGGTGAGTGCTGCAAATCCATTACAAGGTAAAGAACAGACCCACACTCTGCACACTCACTCGAACATTCACTCATTCCCTCGCTTGCAGGCTAACTCCATTAAATTAGGCAGGAAATGTGTTTACTTTGTGATTAGTTTCAAGTTTGCTGTCAGATAAAATTAAATGAGGACTTTATTACCTTTCTTTTGAGCAATCTGGTGCTGCAGCTGACCAAAACTGACAAATGTCTTGCTAATTCCTTTTAATCCTCTCAGGAGCTGAGGTATTTAGCCGTTAGCAGGAGCAAAAGTTTCAATGCAGGTTTTAACTCTTTCTATTCCCAGAAACAATGTTTGTTTCATTCAGTTTCTGAAGAATTTGATCAGTGGTTTTGATATAAATTTATATACAACTTTTCATAATTTGTTAAACAATAGTTTCATACTCAAAGAAGCCTGTCCCCTGAAAATAATTTACATTCATTGACAATGTTTTCTGTTGCATCTGACATTACTTCCAAAGCTAATGGCTTTAATTATTTGAGGTCTATCTCAGCAAGATCCACTGTCTGTCTGGAGCAATTTGACAGTATTGATCCATTTATGCTGTCAAAGACTGTGCTTAAAGGACATTAAGATGAAATTAAAGAGGCACACCTTCCGCACCACTGGGAGGAAGGAAGACTAATTCGTCACTTCAATGATCTTAGATTTTCTTCTGGCCAGTGAATAAATGGTGAAATCAGGCCACTAAAGATAGGCCTGTGTGCAGATTTTGTTGTCAGCTTTAAAGAAAGGAACAAAATGAAGGTATCTGGATTAATACATGCCAGCACAAAAAGATATTGATTCACATGAGGAGAAATAAGTGTTACCATTAGGTGGACTGACAGGCCACATCATAAAGAAATATCAGTACGGAATGTAATGAGATGTGAATGAAGCGTTAAAGTGGGATCTTGGTGTGGATAGTCGCCTCTCATGAATCACCAAAATGAGGCTTATTCAATTTGCTCAAAGAGATTTATGGCTCAAAAGAGGATATAGAGTTGGTATTGTAACTTGTGAAAAATGTTAGATAAAAAAACAAGACCTTTTTGTGCCTAAGATATGCAAATGTTGTTTTTTTTTTTCATTAACAATAGAAAGATTTCAGCATGTGTAGCACGAGTTATCATAGAATACTAAGCAGGGTCATTTTTGCTTCTTTTGCTGTTGTTTAGCTGCGCTGATGAAGATTCAGGCATGCTGTGTGTTTCTGCTTTCAGGAGCAGCAGTATGTAGAACATTGGGTTTTCAGTCCAAGATGGCCAGGCATTAGTAAAGAGATAAGACAGTGATGTAATAAAAATGTAAGGTATGTCAAAAGCAATGACAGCAGGTTCAGTGTTACTTTATTTTGATCAGGGGTGACAGCGTTTTTATTTTGATAGCTCTAAATTGACTCAATAGTACAGGGAAAAACAATCAATTGGAAAATGTTGTAATATAAAATCTTGAAAAAAAAATATTAATATTAAATTTTACATTAGACTTAGGACACTTTTTTAATTACAGTAATTCATTAAAGTGAATTACCAAGACATGTATGGGTTTAAATTGTTTCATTAGTAGTAATTAAATCAGTTGGCAAAGAATAATACTGACTGGATGTTAAATGCAAGCATAATGGAAAACAATTTTGACTATTTCAGATTTTGCTCATGTCAATAAAAGTTTAGTTGGGAACTCAGAGCAGCAGACCAACTGGCATGACATTGAGAGCAAATCATTTCCAAACTCTTTCTGGAGAAAAGATTTTAGCTGTTTTTGTCATTTCAGGTATTTTATATTAAAATTTTGGATTTCAGAAAGGAGCTTCTGCTCCCTTATTCCAATCTTTAAGCCTTTATAGCTCAGGAAAAAAAAATGTTCACCACGGTGCACCCAGTTTAGATATTTTCCCTTTTATTTGCAGGGTAGAATTGCAATGTATATTATGCACTTTTCAGTGAACACGCACATGGATCTATGCAGCAATTCTGACTTAAGAGCTAAACTTCAGCCTTAAATTATTCATACACCTCGCAGATATGCATTTGAAAGAATATACATTAATCAAAAAGTTTTCTCTGGTTGGAAGTATATATGAAAACTTTCTACAGCTATCCCTACAGTGCGCCATCCTGTCAAGTCAAAGGCCTTATTTCATCTTCTGCTGTGGCTGATTGGCAAAACAGAGCTAAAGAAAGAATGAAAGTTAAACCTGACGTAGAGTAAAACCAGTTTTTAGAAGGACAACAAGTAGGTACTGTTAGATAAGGCAGTGGCTATAACAAAACCAAGCCTTATTAAAAAAAGAACTGCTGTGAATATGCATTCAAGTGTAGCTGTTGCAATGCCTATTTTGTGCACTTTTCAATTTTTTTATGCCTTTTGGCTTTACTTAAGGAAAGAGCAAAACTCGGGCAAAAAGGCTATCAAGAAGCCTTCATACAGCCAGTGAGTCCACTTGTGTAATGGTGGGAGGGCGGTGGGGAGTGACTGCTGCCCGATACGTCTGCATAGCACACAAACAACCGCCGTGCTCGCTGTAGCATGGCTGTTTCCCCAGGGAACATCAGTGGATGCATTAGGTAGAGCCCAGGAAAGGTCCACTTTCTCTTACCAGCTCAGGGTGGGGGGTGGAAAAAATACCTTAAGGTGTGTTAACTAGAAAAATATTTTTTTTTTATTCTCTGGGGTGAACAAGAAAAGTTTCTCCGAAGAAAGAAAAGCACAAAACTTTTAAATATTTTCTTTGAAATGTTGTATTGCAGATATGAATAGGGGACAAATGGGGAGTGGTAGGAAAAAAAAACGATATATTGTCTTTAAAATTTATACGAATAAAAATGTCAGATTTCCTTCTCCCTTTATTTTGATACCTCAGAATAAAATGAATTGTAACTAATTGGCCTCAGAGGGAACTAGTAAATAATTTAATAAGTAGTTGGCACAACTGAGTGGTGCTAATCAGATGAGTGGGAAATAGAAAACCTATCTGCCTCAGAAACCATCCAGCCACGAGTGTTGAAGTTACCAGGTCATAATGACATTGATTAGGATTAATGTCGATTTCTCAAAGCTGTCTAATATTCAGGCTGCATGTAACATCATAAATTGTGTGAATAACAGCACAAACAGTACATTTTTGAAAATGTCAGTGATATAAACACGTTTGTCACGGTACAGAAGCACACCTTTATGAATAGATTATCTATTGCATACATTAGATAACACTTTTTAACAATAATTTTGCAGGCAGGCATTGTAGTGTGATGGCAGCTTGCTGTCCAGGCAATATCCTGTCTCTCCCTGAGTAGCTGCAGGGTTAGGCTCCTGTGTCTGAACGGAAAGAATTGATAAAGACTTGGTGGGTGACTGGTTTTTATGAGGTGTGTCTGCAGTGCCAGCCAGACATTTATCAAAATCAGTCGGATCCGTTTTCAACTTTGCATTGAAACTCTAATTTTTGTTTTTATAGGGTTAACTGGATATGAAACAATCGCCATTAATTTTTGATTAAATTATATCAGGATTGTTTTATAATATATATACATTATGGTAAAATCATGATCAAAACTTTCCTGTCGTGGCATGCACCTGAGCGATAGCAAAGAACAGCGCCGATGTGCTTCATAGACTATCTGACTCTGCCTTTCCAGCTCGAATACATTTTCCAATCCTTTGCAATCTAAGATTGTCCTCCACTCATAATAAGGAACACCCAACTGAGTGCAAGTTTACCAAGCTACCTCGACAGTTTTGACCTGAAAGCAGGAGCTGGGCAGTTTGAACTTGAACACAGTTGGGTTCCAACAAAACATCCAATTTGGACGACTCCAAACTCAAACCTGCTGAAAATGTATGGTACACATATATTTCCAAAAGCCAAGTCTTTGCTAGGATGATAGGAGTAATTGTTACAAGACCGTGCTGATGGTCACAAAGAGTGTGAGATTTCTTTCTAGTTGCTAACAGACAATTAACCACACATCGCATGCAGAACATTCACAAATACTCACACTTTTCATTTCTAAATATCAGTAAAGATATTTATTATATTATCAAGCCAACATGAAAAAAGGGGAACAGAACTACAATAAAATTTGGCTATTTATATGAAAAAAATGGTAGAAAAACTGACTTGGCGCCATGAGCCAACTAACAAGGAAAGGATGACATTTTCATTTTGCATGGCTCACTGTGGGTGTTATAACGTTCAAATGGTCCTGACACGAATAAAAGTTATGCAATTGTTCCAGTAAGAATATTAGTTTGATCACTCAGTGGTTTTATAATTGTCCTCATGCAATTAGAATTATGCATTTCATAGACAATTGGCCATCGTGTTTCTCTCTGAAGCTCAAAAACAAATCATGGCATCTGATTCCTCCCTGCATGACTCTCTGGAAGACGTCTGTCATTAATCTGTCATGCATAATTACCAGCAAGAGCCATCGCCTGCACTCTTAAGTACTTCATTCCAAAAGCTATGGTAAAAAATGTTGAATAGAAGCAGTGGATTTTATTTTTTGCATTTCATCAGAATGCAGAGTTTTAAAAGATAAGTGCAAGCAGGGAACTCATCTGTGCGCGGTAATCCTGAAGCCAAAGGTGAGTTTTGTTAAATTACCGGTAAACTTCAGCATATTGTGCTAAGTGACAGGGAAAAGAATAGCTATTCAGCAAGTCCCTTAAAAATTGAGATTAATTTAGCACTCATGTCACAGACTACCTTGTTCAGACTCCGCACTCTGTTTTTATCAGTAAATTGAACTGGCTCAGCTGTCACCCAAGTGTGCAGCTTCAAAAAGAGAACCAATTTCGCACAACAAATATCTCCACAAGCGCAGCGGTGGGCACTGATTGTGTGTGTGTGCCTGTCTGTAGATGCAATAATGATAGCTTAAGTCTACATGCTGTTTCACGAAAAGAAGATGAAGAGGGAGGCACTGATTAGGTTTAAACCTTCTATTCACTAAAGGGTGGAAATTGTCATTATGAGGTGTTTATCTAAGAAACACATTCAATCAAGCTCATAAAACTGCAGTCGTTCTTCTCAGAGGTTTTGCAAAAAGAAACTCAAGTCCTGGCTTCCAATAAAAGACTTTAAAAGATCCACAAACATTTGGAGGACTAAGAATTTTTTAGAGACACTGATAAAAGAAACCCGCTGTACTGTGCAGACTTCAGAACAATAGTGTAAAACCAGCATCATGGAGATCAAGGAACACACCAAATAAAACTGGGACCTGTAGGCCTGCATACAAAATTCTGTGTACAGGGGGATGGGGGGAGGGAATCATTGAAAACCAGCCTAACAACACTGTCCTTATGGTGAAACAGAGCGGTGGCAGTATCATTCTTAGTGTATGTGTGTGTTCAGCAGAGACGGGAAAGTTTGCCAGAGTCGATAAAACGAAGTAGATAAATAAATACAAGGCATTGCAGATTAATCACAAAGTCCGTAGATTACTCATGTTTTAGAATGGCCTAGTTAAAGTTCAGACCTGCTGTTCAAAGAAATTTTTTTAAACAGACTGAGAATCAGATATTTTTGCAAAAAAGAATGAACAAGAACTCAGAGGTGGCTTGTGGCTTAACTTTCAGAAGCTTTCTGCCAGTCTTTGGGCGTCTCTAAGTGTCACACCTTCACTACATCATCTTTCTGTCATACTTTCCTCTCTGCAGGCTCTCTGACTCCTTGCATATATAAGTTTCCAGACCACGGACTCAGTAGCAGCTCTTGTGCTCTGAGCCACGGTTTTTCCTCGCTGCCGTCGACACTCCTTTCAGCCGACGAGGTCTCCGGGGGCCCCGGCGGAGAAGTGAAAGGTGACGCACATCGGAAAGGGATGCGGGAGCAGGAAGAAGCCCCCCCTATGGACTCCCTGCAGATACGAGAACTGGAAATGTTTGCTAATGACTTCAAAATACGCCGGATCAAACTGGGTGAGTACATCCTACAGCAACCTGCTATGTCTTCATCTAAATTTTGCTTTGTTTTGTTCTGCTCTGTATTTTTTTTTTTTTCCGGCAATCATCTTGCTTCCCCACTGCTGGCTGCATTCTGTGAGGCATTGCTATTTCTATTTTATTTTGACCCCAGGCTACACTCAGACTAATGTAGGCGAGGCTCTTGCCGCAGTACACGGCTCAGAGTTCAGCCAGACCACGATCTGCCGCTTTGAAAATTTGCAGCTGAGCTTTAAGAACGCCTGCAAACTCAAGGCCATTCTGGCAAAATGGCTCGACGAGGCTGAGCTGGCTGGTGGTGAGTCACACGAATCCACTCCATCATCCCCCATGCAGTGTTTATTTACAGTAGGTGTCATCTTTATCCAGTAACATTAAACCTGCACCTTTGATTTGTTGCCATAGTATTTTATATAAGTGGTATTACTAGGATGGGGTGCTAAAAATGTACGTTCTTGTTCCATTTTTACCAGTGTACTATGACTTTTTTTTTTTCTGAAGATGAACGAGAAGACAGCATCTGAAATAGAAGCTTAGTTTTCATCTGAGAAACGGGATTATGCAACATCTCAAAAGTATGATGTCTAAAAAATGTATATACACAGTACCTGGCAAAAGTCTTCACACCCCTCAAACCTTTGTTTATGTTGTCATGTTGTGGCAAATATGCTTAATATGAGAAGCAGCAAAACAATTTAAAACATTGTGCTGAAAACTTTCTATGGCAAGAACATTATTAGGATTTTTAAAGATTTTTCTTGTTAAAATCTCAGAGTATCATTTGAATGTAAATGCTAAGAGATAAACCAAAACAGTGTGTTCTGAAACAGTATGTAAGTGTCTAAATATGTTAATAGATAAATCAGGTTTGAAAAAGTGAAGCATAAAAGAAATCTTACATATATCTTCAAAATTTTATCTTTGGGTTAATGTAATTACAGACGTAAATGCAACATTTCTGCTGTTGGTTGATTTCACAAGTCAATTATTTACTTTGCAGAATTTAAAAAAAGAGAATATCTGCTGCTATTTGAGAGAGCTAAGTCAATTGATGTTTAATTAATTAAGACTAACTCAGTCAAAATGAGAAGCGACAAAATTAATTAGGAAATTTATGTGAACAAAGCTGTGCTTGAATTTTGTAGCATTTGAATGTTTTTTTTTTTCAATCCCTCCTAAGCTTCAATGACAAAACACTCTGACTTCCTTGTAGCGTTGTACAACGATAAAACTGGAATGAATGAGCGAAAGAGGAAAAGGAGAACAACCATCAGGTATACTTTGTGAGGATGAAAAGTGTAAAACCATCCAGTTCACTCAGTGTTTAAGGATTTTTGCTTTCTGCTTTTTGTTCCCTGTTTGATTCTGCAGCCTGGGAGCTAAGGAGGCCCTGGAGCGAAGCTTTGTGGAGAAAACTAAGCCATCCTCTCAGGAAATAGCCCGGATAGCCAAAGGGCTCCATCTGGAGAAGGAGGTGGTCAGAGTCTGGTTTTGCAACAGACGCCAAAGAGAGAAACGTGTCAAAACGAGCCTGAGCCTGAGCTCCTGTTTGACCAAAATCAGTCCAAACTGTCTCACACAAATAAGTAAAACCCAAAGACCACTGACTTAAACTGAAGCGCTAAAGTGGCTTCTGAGCTAATGCGACGGAGGCTCTTTCATGACCACAACTTTTCAGGCAGATCCAAGAGTAATAAATTCAGTAACATGCAGCAATGGTGAAACGAAAAACGTTTGTAAAAAAAAAAAAAAAAAGAATCCCCTGTGTTTCTTGTATTAATTATTAATGTATCAAAAT